GTGCATTCGTGAGCATAAAAAAAAATTAGCTTATATCATAATCATCAGGACAAATTGTGAAAGGCTTGATGCCATAAAAGAGAAGCTGAGGTCCATGAGCGGCAGATGGAGGGTCATGAACGATCGCTATCGAAGGAAGTCGCCGAACGGAGGGAAAAGATGCTGCTCCAAATGATAGCCGGACGCACGAGAAAGTGCGATTCAAATTCGTCGAGGAGGAAAAGCTACCAAAAAGATGGAGCGACGCAACCCAAATTTACTCCCCGTGCTTCCAGTGCTCTTGTTTTGAAGTTTTTTGCCGAGTACGGAATAGATTCCGACCTCGGGTCGTGTCTCTTGAGTAAGGTTGTTCGGACACGGATTCAAGAAGCAATTGACTAATACACAGAAATAAAATAAAAGTCCCTCACACTTTACTCGCAATTTGGGGTTTGAATGAAGCTAAAGAACACAATTTTAAACTAAAACGAAAGCAACATGGAAACTTTAACAAGCAAGACTCGGACTTTATCGCAAGCAAGATCTCTAATTGCAATAAAAAAGAAAATAGAGAGACAAAAACAAGTTACCCTAAGACCCGAGCTGGAAAGAAGACACCTAATAGGTTCGGAAACATATAATCAAGTAATCGCCACAAGTGAGTCAACTAATCGAGTACTCAATTAATTCTTGCTCACACAATCAACAACAAAATCATATATACATTAATTAATTAATTAATAATTTTATTTTCTAGTTAATATTAATAAATAAGTTTATACTTATTATAATTTATATATTCTATATAAACAGTATGGATGCGAAATCGAAGCTTATCAAACGACGGTTAGTTTGATGTATTATATATCTAAAACTGATAAAAACTACAAAAGTTATTAACTTTTAAAATATATTTACATTTCAATGGTTATAATAGGAAATGATATTAAAATGCAATCAATATATCTAAAATGGTCATAAGTAATCAATATATTTATGGATAATCTGAACTAATTATTTTTAGATTGGAAGTAAATTAAAATATATCCAAGCCAAATAATGAAGTATGAAATTTTGCCCCATAAGATCTCGAAGCATGCGAGCCATCCACTCAAGTTCAACACATTCGGTAATTATATATAAAGGGGACACTATTTTCTAATGCAATTTTATTAAAAAAATTAAATAATTTTAATGGCATGAAGAATCCCAAAATGCGTAAAAAAAATTTATAATAATAATGTAGTATTTTGTTAAGCAATTAATTGGTCACGATTAGTGCTATTAAATTAAAGAAGTCTTTGCTCGGCTCGCCTCGTTTGATTAAAGCTCATTTGATTAAACGATTCATTAAGGTTTGAAAGAGAATTTTTATATATTTTTCTATAATCTCGTTAAAACTCGAGATGAGCTTGAACTCTGCTGGTTATGAGTGGTAAACGAGACGAGCTTGAACCCTATTTCAGGCTCGTTTATCTAACGAGCCGAGTTTGGCTCGGCTCGTTAAGGGCTTGAGTACAAGCTCGAACACCCTAAGCTCGAGCTCGTCTCGACTGGTTTCTATATGACGATTCTTTGAATAATACAACTGAATTGCATCACTTATTTTCAATATTAATAAATGTTTTGTTTTTAGTAAAAAAATGGTACTTGATGAAAAACATTTAATAAAAATGTGTAATTAACAGGTATAAATCAACAAACTACGGATTCCTTGTAACTCAGTCCAAATGAAATTCGAGTTGAGCGCTTACTCCATTTGCTTGCAAGTTGCAACCCATCCGCTGACATTACATATATAAGATTCCTTTCATTTGACATTTTGACTATGAAACGCGCATGTCTACATATTTCTGGGTCAAGCGAATTCTGCTTCTTTAAACTTGAATAATTAGTTAGAGTATATTTAATTTGTCCACTACCGAAATTAATTAGAACTGATCAAAATTATTCCATAACCATAACAATATCATCTTCAGTAATAATTACAGATACTCGTATTCCATGCGTCCACTTCGTCGGTAAGACGTTCCTCCACCTAGAGACGGATCTAGCAAATATAATGAGTGGGAGCCTAATTATTTAATGAAAAAGTATATAAATATTTTAACAAAAAGTAGAAATTAAAGTAGACATTAAAAAACGTAACTTCATAGTCGTTCTTAGAAGTTTTCATGACCTGATATGGCTCTATAATAGCATCATTATCAATTTTCAAGAAGGTTTCTTTTCTACATAAACTATCAGTCTATAATTTAACCAATCATCACTCATTCGATTGCTCAATATATTCTTAATAATATTCATTGCGGATTATACTCTCCACGCTAGCTGCTGACGGGACTTTTTTTTAGACAATTTCACAAGCACTTTGTTGACGGGCCTTCTCTGAAAATTTCTCTCCATATCTAATATATGAAAATAATGTTGTAAATTTACAATAAGCAAAATTATTTATTCTGACATATAACACTTTAAGAGCTATAAACACCTAAAAATTATTTGAATTTGCAATTTTACATAAAAAGAATATATTTACCAATACCAAAAAGATAAAGAAGAGTAATTTTAACATCCACCGAAATAAAGAAGAGTAATTTTTATCTCTTACAAGTCGCTTTCCCGAACACTTGGACAAAAAATTGATAGACCCTTTCTCTCTCTCCCCCTCCCCCCCCCCATCTTTTCCCCTTTTTTTTTCTTTTCCTCTTTTCGTCCGTGTCTAAGGGTGACACGTGAGAAATCTTGTATTATTTTGGGGTTTAATTTATATATTGGAGTATTTGATTTTAGTATATTATACAAGTTTTCTCACGTATTTTATTTTGTGAACGGACATACACCAATAGTCGAAATTTGTGTTTATTTTGCAGGTTTAGCCTTTTTTATATTATGCCCAATGATGACTTGGCATTGGTGAGGTGGCAAATTAATATGCAAGGATGTGGTTTATAATTTTACATGGCCAAAACACATGCAGCAAGACTCAATTTTAAAGAAGTGGACTTTTAAATTAATGTTTATCATTTCGTTGGCGGATGGCTGAGACTTAGGGAAATTCAATTTCCTTTGGACTCTGGTGAGTGGCTGAGGGAAGAGAATTAGAATTTGGTTGGACTCTTGTGGAGTTGACGTGGATTACTTTGGAAATTAAAAGAAAATTATTCATTCATCTGGTTGGGACCTTTCATACGCAGACAGAAAGAGAGCAATTAAGGAGAAGAAAGATTCAGCCTATTTGCTGGAGAATTCAGTCGTGGATCATTTGAACTGAGGGAGTTTGGTTTATTTAGTTTTATTTTGCTTTGGTTTATTTTGATTGAACAATATGGAATATTATTTTTATTTTTATTATTTGGCTATGTATAGCTAAACACTATTTTAGTTCTAGGGACGTTGAACCCTCGATAACTATGTTCGATTAATGCAATTTATTTCATTTTCACTTGTCGTATAAAATTGTTTGTGTTATTCTAGTTTCACGTCATAATGTGTGATTTTTAATTTAGTTTGATCACCTAAGTTAGGAATTGCATGTTAATTGCTAGAGTTGAGGCTTCGATCCGTAATTGTCGTAGTTTTTAATTCAATTGTAGCAACTAACAGTCGTGCATTGTTAGGGATAACACAACATAA